TTGTGGGTTTCGAGTGTTTGCCGCCAAGTTTCTTTTGTCAATTTATAGGTTTTAAGTGATGCTCTTTACGATGGAATAGTCAAAATCTGGATGCCTTAAGTTCCCCATAAAGTGAACTTATACCAATACTAACATGATCGCGCCTGCAGCCGAAAAAACGTTCCTCTTGGTGCAACCTCGCAATGCCAATTTTTAGATCGTCCTCCGAACAAAAGGTATTTTTTATCCGTGGACCCTCGCTAGAGTTCCTTTCTTCCGTGCATCTTAGGTTGTTTTCCCTTTTTCATTTCGATCCATTCCATTCAATTCAAGCCCATAGGTACAATCCATAAATCAGAGGCCTTGTTAAAGCTGTACATATGATCTCAGATGAATAAGAAAAGCTTTCTTGACAGAAGAAATTTAGAGGCAGTAAAGATGGCGTTAAGGATGGTACGTACTACCTGGGAGTTTCTTTTTAGAAGAATACATTTAGAACAGTAATAAAAATAAATAAATGAATGGCTGCGTCCGTTTTACCACAAAACAGTACTTTAATTTCGACAACGAAAAAACAGGTGCCACTTGTTCATGTTTTAACGTCAAAAACATCTGAAGATGGCGAACAGGTAGTACAAAATTACCTGTAACTTTTAGTAAACGAATTCTATTTATATTCTTATTTTAGGTTAATCGAAATGAACCGTTCAATTATGAAAAGGCGATCAAATTTCTCACTGACCCACATTCGGTAATACTTCACAGGTGCTTCATATTTTGTAGCCAAAACTTCTATATCATTTGTGCAACAGTTTTGAAATATTTTTAGAGTCACCTAGCAAATCGTCACATTCGTGTATGCCAGAAATTATGCCGACATTACAAAGATGGTTATGTATGTTTTTTTGAAATATTTTGATATAATTTTTAGCTATTAGTATTTAGTAAACACATTAGTTTTCCTTGATATTTAACATGTTTAGATTCTGAAAGATTTGCATTATTTGATGAAATTATTCAACGCACTTGCAGAAAAATGTCAGGATCAACCATTGTATATTGAAGCATTGTGTATGATAATTCAACATTGTTCAAAACCATTTCTTTTGGACAAATCGACCGATGCCAATATTTACGAGACTCCGTTAGCAGCATTCTATTCAGATTTTGGTATATAGATATACGCTTGAGAGTACGTGATGCAAAATTATTTATTTTTAAAATATTATCATTTTAGGATATTTATTGAGAATTCCAATTAAACGTGTTCAAAAATGTATTCTCGATACATTATATCAATCGATTCATACCAAAAAAACAAAAGCACAAGAGCAAAAGTCATTGACAATATCTTACGATGAAATGAGACCAACAACACCAGATTATATTCTCAAAATTCAAAGAGCTAGTGATCTTTGTGAAACACTTGTTAAAGTAAGTTTTTTTATTAGAAAAATACCACTTCATGCGGCTACGGTCACTGTTATAGGATATTTACGAGTGTCAGTTTCAATAGCCCTATATTTTGTCTTTAGTTGATGAGCATCTGACATGATTATGCGTATTACTCATTATGCGTTATTACGCATGAACTACAGTTTTTAATCTGATGCAGAGTTCTTTTCGACTAATTGTTTGAGTTCACTATATACACTCATTAACTTTCTGAAAAGCTATGAAGGAAGATTAACTGGAAGAACTGTATTGTACATCACATTACAGCGATCAGGATATTGCACGAGTGATTGGGGACACTAAGACATAGGTAACTTGCCCATAATTCTTATACGACTTGACAGTGTCAATGTTCCCACACAGTACTTTTGACATACGTGATAAACAATATAGCCATTAAACCGTCAAATATACTTCTTATACTCTATATTTAGACAATGGTTTTAGTGGAAAACGATTTGGGTTTACGAATACAAATATTGAAGTTATTACAGATATTATCAGATAAAACAGGTAGAATATTGCTTTTTCCTGCAGGACACTCAGAGAACCAATGTCAATAGAAAATTATGCTTAAGGAACAAAAAAAAATAAAGTTGGTTTTGAATTGTAGAAAAGTGCTTTTTCGTATCCAGCGCATTCGATAAACCAGAAGATTTTCTACGTTTGGCAAGGGTTACTTCCAAAGTTTAGGAATAATTTTGAAACAAAATGGCGCAAATATATTTCCATGGGAAAATAAGGTTGGTTTGAAAATTTTTCCTAAACTTTTGGTAGAAGCCGTCGCCAAAAACAGAAAATCTTCTGGATTATCAAATATGCTGAATACGAAAAAGCACTTTTCAGCAACTCAAAGCGAACTTTATTTTTTTTTGTGGTGATATGCTATTTAAAAAAGTTAAAATGCCACTTATTTTAGAAAAATCTTAATAATAGATGTTTGAATCAGAGATGAAGATATTCTATACAATTTTTGTAATTACAACTAGTTTTTGTTTATTTGAAGTTGATTGTGTGACTAGAATGTTATATAATGATTGTGTAAATCGGCTTGTGTCAGGAATGAATGATCCAGATCCATCTGGAGAGTATGTTACCTTTTCTAAATAATTCAATTTAAACTATTTAACTATATATTTTTGTTCAGACTATTATTTCGTACAATCGAATTATTATGGAATATGTTAGAATATGGTGATGAAGAAGTAATTAGTGATCAATTAGATTCACGAGTAACAATAACGTAAGTGTAGAATATGTTTATTAGTCAAATAATGATTAAAATTTTTGTGATTATAGCCGTTTACAAGAAGCATTTCTTGGTCAAGTAACTCAGAGTTATAGTCGTTATCATTGTCAATGTCGGTATGTAAAAATACATATAATTAAACAACGGATACTTTATTATTGTTCAATTTTACTTTTAGTAATGATATATTGGTTGTTTGCTCTCTAATTATAAGTATAAAACCCGATGCTCCATTTGTTGAAACTTCATTTGCTAAACAACTTTTACTGTTTGCATCTTATCCAGAATGTGAGTTTGTTGTTTATGAACTATCAAATAGTATTACACATTTTTTTACTTTCTTTATATTTCTTTTTAAGTGAGAAGTAATAATCCATTAGTTAAAAATTTTAAATTAACATCATCTCATGAGGATTTTGAATTTAAAAAGCTATTATTCAATACTATTGTTGTTCTAAGTAGAAATTCTGTAATGAATGAGGTATGCATACAAAAAAGGAACTTATTTTTATTAAAAAAAAATGAACTTGACTGTTCTTATTTTTAGTTAATGATTGAAAGTCGTGTATTATTAGCATTTTTATCATATGTTGAACCACTTCCTCGTACAGCACAACAAAATGTTCATGAATGGACACCATCTCAACTTGAAGAACTTCAATTACATGCTTTAGCAGCATTATGTACACTATTACCATGTTCAATGCAAGAATATTTTGAATATCATGTTGGAACACGTTTACTACTATTTTATGAATGGTGTATTAATGACAAAGGTATGTAATAATAAATATAAATGTAATTAAAATAAATAAAATAAAATAATTTTATTCTTATAGATGATTATCAAAGTCAAGGAAATAGTTTTTTTGGAAAAGGTGGAAGAAATAATAAACGTTCACAATTACGTTATGTATTGAGATTATTTCGAAGTCTTGTTTCTACACGTGAAGAACGTGTCCATCAAGATTTAAGTGATCAAGGAATAATACCATCATTAACGAGTTATTTACGAAAAATTTCTCAACGAGAAGTAACAAATATTGATTATGTTATTTTGGATGTTCTTTGCGATGCTTTATTCATATTAAGTTCATTGTGTGAATTGGATGTTCATAGAAAAGTAAAAAAATTTAATTAAATTTTACTATTAATAAAGTGATTATTATTGTTTTCTTTTTTATTTTAGGAAATATTTGGTTCTGAAGGTATTGAAATGCTTATACAAATATTATTAATTGATTCATCATTGATATGTGGTGGTCTGGGTTATCATCGACTATTAGTGGCTGCTACTGATTGTGTTTGGTGTTGTATTGTTGGAAGTGTTATTAATGAAGATGAATTTATTCAAAAACAAGGCATATTTGCATTACTTGATTTAATTGAGGTAATTTAATTATTTTATCATATATTAATGATGGAAGATTTATTTGATTTGATTTTTATATTTTAGAAAAATCCAAAATCATTACAAAATCTAGTTTTAGGATGTGTACTAGATTTAGCCGAGAATACAAAATGTCTTCATTTTATAATGGCATGGAAAGGACAGAATCAACAACAATTTACACATTTACTATGTGAATTATGGAGAGATGAAGAACGAGAAATACGTGTAAATATATTTTGATAGGTTTATGTTTACTTTAAAACTAATTATGATACGTTTAAAGGTTTCAAGAACAGATAAGGGCGTAATCAATGATCATCAAAAACCATTAATGGGCGAAATGCAACAATCTCAAGAGATAACGCCGTTACAAACGTGGGAACCGTCGAGATCGGTCATTGATCTCATCGATAATATGAGATCAAAAATATATGGGTTTTTTTGTAAATTAGGTTAGTCGTATTTTTTTTTTCTTCTTTTAATAGAATTTGAGTTTAAAGGAAATTTCTAAATTTTAAGGCTTTAGTGAACTACCCGGATTAGTCGAAGAAGATTTTGTCACATTGTGTATTATTGAAAATTTTCTTGATTTTAAAATGGGTGAAATATGGCAAGAAATTGTTACTGAATTGGAAATTGAAGGTGTTCAATTAGTATCACCTGATCGTGAAGCAACCGATACCATATTGCGTGCAACAGATGAACGTGGTCTAGGTAAATGATAAAACACATTTAATGTTTTTTTCTTAGATTACTTCAGTTTTTATTTATTATTTCAGCTGTTGCAGCCACACAAAACTTTATCTTAGAACAGTATCATAAACAAAACTTACAACAAGAAAAAGAATTTTATGAACAGGTAATTATTATTGATAAAATATATAAATTGCTAACAATCTTGTTTACACTCATCATTTTATAGTTAATAAAAAATCATGCACATAAAGAAAAACGATTAGAAGATTGGAAGTCATTTGTTGCTCGAACGTCGAAATATCCATTGTTAATGGTATAATTTCATTGAATAATTACACGCACACAAAATGATGGTAACAATGAGTTCTATTTAACTTTTTTAGGCGGCCAAAGATTATCAGAATCAAGCCATACGTCAATCAAGACCAGAAGAAAAAGAAATGAGCACATATCATACTGTTCATAACTTAGAAATACCAAATTTATCTGTTACAGTACGTATAGAGATCAAAAGCATAGATTGTATCTGTCTACTTATTCTTTCTTTTAATTCGTCACACATCAAATGAAGTTTTCACTGAAAAATCGCTTTTCCATACCCTTGTACTTAGGCATGCCCCAATATCGATATTTTATTGAAATATCGAAGCAATAATATCGAAAATCGGTAATATTGAATTCGATAACATCGGAATCAATATTATTGACGGCAATATTATCGAGCCCCTTTATTTCGATAATATCGAAAATGTAGTGTAATCTTTTCTCCTTAGGTGATATGCATTACTAGAGCTAGCCAAAATGATGGCACTAGTATAAAGTCGGTGTCTACTAACCACCTTGCCATTGAATTTCTTTATATCTGAGGCGCAGGTCACATAGAAACCTGGAAAACAAAATCTGTCACTTCACTTGGTTTGAGAACTAACAATTTGAAAGTGCTACCTCTTTCCTGTACTTTCTCTCACAAATTTTTTTCTCACACACGATATAATATCGAATATCAATATTATCGTATTGTTGCATGACTACTTGTACTATATAATTAAAAGGTTGTGTTGCATATATTTTGCCTAAAATATTATTGTTTTCCTTAATCTAATATATTCGATAAATCAAACATATTCTTCAATATGGTAACAACATATAAATATTTTTAGGCATTTGCCGGTCCCTATCTTGTAATTGATAGTACACCGGTCGATATTATTGGAAAACAACGAAATCAGAATACAGCTATAGATACTGTATGATGGAGAAGACTAGTTTTATTTCCATATAGATAAATTTTATTTTCAGAGTTTGTGATTCTATCTTCTATTTATCTTGCGTATAATAAATATGTATTTTTTTTTTCGTATTCTTTTTTCTATATACGTATACCTATGATGTACGGAAAACATTTTTAAATAAAAATAATGTTCTTTTTACCTTTTGAAGTATTTGGTTTAGCTAAGAGAACATTTTGATTTCATCTACGTTGGTATGTATTGACTATGCTTTAGTATTTTTTGACATTATATCACGAATACATGTTTCGTATTGGTAAAATCTTCGCGCCAGATGATTATCATATGTTGAGTTTGCTTCTGTTCAAATTGGAAGTGCAATTTCTGCTCTAAAGTTCCTGTTTGACTCTCAATCCATGTGAAAAAGATGAATGTATGGGTTCTTGTTGTTCGGAAGACACAAATCCACTACGTCATGAAAATCATTTATTGCCAGGAATGAAACGTTATCAACCACCTCGAGATTCTTGTACTACTCCTAATTTAGTAGTACATCAAACAAAAACTCAATATCAACGACAGCTGCCTTCTAATGACACGTATATGGCAGAATATTTAGATGAACGTGGTCAGAAACATTTTGTACGTTTACCATTAATTATTAATCAACAACAGCAACAACAATTGGTTACGAAAAAAGTTGATAGTTACAATTTATTTTTACCACCATGGCACAATGAAGAAATAATGAGGCATGATTTAAATGAAGAATGTGCAATTTGTTTAGAAACATTTGAAAAAGGTCAGACAGTTGCAAGACTTGAATGTCTATGCGTCTATCATAAATCATGTATTGAAGTGTGGGCAATGCAGAAACGAGTGTGTCCGCAACATACTGAATGTGAGACGTTGTCAGCAAATCTACTACAAATAATGGTAGATGAGAAAGATAACGATACACATTCACAACAAATATCGGTCAAAAGCGAGAAAAAGAGTTTTAAAAGTACAAAAATAAAAAAGCGATAATTGATCTCATTTTGTTTTTATATCACTCTACATGATACAAGGAATATCTCCCTTTGACATAGTTATTGGATCTAATTTCTTTCAAATCTAATTAAATATTACGTATTAACATGTTAACACTAATTTATCATACCATCAATTTGTCTAGTCTTTCTTCTTTCTACTAGTTTGTGCCATTAGCATTTCTGAAAGTAGGAACGAGAACAACAACTGACGGTTATATAAACTGTTTTAAAAAAGTTTCAAATTAGCTTTAAACCCTTAGTGATAACTATATTAAAAAATTAATTCTATAATAAAACCAGATTGCAACTGTTCTGCGCACAAGTTACGATGTCGACAGACACTGCTTTTTCGACAATTGACGAAAGCGCTAAATAAACGATTAATATAAATGACTCCTTTTTTATTGCAACTTCATAACTTAACGGCACTCAACATTAAAATACGAAATCACGATGTCTAGCTATCGCAGTGACTTATTTATAATATCAATTACATATACATAGATAAACTGAATCCGAATAATCCGTAAACAAATGCCGACGGACAACAACCTGTTAATGAATATATGAAAAATTTCTAAGTCAAAAGCACAAATTTCTTCTAGTTTTGGATTCTGTGATGGCGGATCCAGAGCGGATTTAGGAAAAAGACCTCTCAGTGATCAATCTTCAGTATTTGGAGAACCATTTCCCCTTCCAGAAGTTCTCTACATCATTGCTTGCACATTTTGCAAAAAATTTGACTAAACAAAAGGAAAGAAAGAAAAAACCCTGAAACGGTGTCTCTCAACATAAAAACATTATAACATATGAGTTCTTATAATGATACATTGCGACATTTGGACGCATAACTAATTACATCAGTCATGCTCATGAAGGTGGCGGATTGAGTGTTGAAACTTTGTTATTCGTACAATATTTCAGGATTTGCCTTTATTGCTGAAAGTCTTTGATTCTACCGACTATACCATTTTCTACGTCTCGTCTTGGGATGTTCTAGATTAAGATAACTATAAATAATTCCCGGTCTTGCTTCTCTTTGACTTCTCACTGATAATGAATCATGTTCTCGTGCAATACTCAATGATTGAGAACGTGTTATATTATCTCTCATCTGTTGATAATAGCGTTGTTGTTCGTAATCACCTTTATTGTTATAATGTGGCGGATATGAAGAGTGTTGAAAATACTGAGAATGATAGTGATTATTTGACGGTAAATAGGGTAATTTGTAACCATTTTGGGAGTTTTGTAAAATGAATGGTCCAAGATGTGCGCCCGTATATTGAGATGGTATATAGTCATAATTATTATAACTAGGATTATAACGTTCTTCTATTGGATAAACTGGTGGAAGAGGAATGGATTTCTGTTGAATCTGCTGATTGTTCCTGCTCGTTTGTTTACTGGCCTTTTTTGGTTCAGGATACATTTGCTGATAGTTAATATCTGCATGATAGTTGAATGGAGGATATTGTGGTATGTTGTACATATATGGTGCATAGGCCTCATGATCATAGTTATTATATGTGTAGTCTTCTAATGGCGGCGGCGTAGCATGGTCAATCACCCCTTCAGGTAGATTATGTTGCCGATCGAAAGCATTGAATAGTGTCATAAGATCGATTGGATCACTGTTTTAAACCTTTGTAGATAGCATAAAAGATTGTATTCTATTTATTGTAGAGCAAACACAATTTAATCCCATCAATGTAAAAGAAACAACAATAAAATAAGTTTCTACATCAATTATTTTTGAAACTGAATTTTCGAATAAAAAGGTCACACGTGTGCATGTAAACAATAATTTTTCATCAACTTGATGTACTATGTTCGCTTAGCTTTTTTGAGGATAAAAAATAATCTTACATCAATGTCTCATAACATTGTTGTTCGTAATCACTTTCATTGTGATAATCAGGCGCATATGAAGAGTGTTGAAATTATTGAGAGTAATATTGATTATTTGACGGTAAATAGGGTAAGTTGTAACCATTTTGGGGTTTTCGTAAAATGAATGGTCCAGGATGTGTGTCCATATATTGAGATGGTCGAGGATATGTGTTCATATATTGAGATGGTGGAGGATGTGTGTCCATATATTGAGATGGTCGAGGATATGTGTTCATATATTGAGATAGTGGAGGATATGTGTTTATATATTGCAATGGTCGAGGATATGTGTCCATATATTGAGATGATGGAGGATGTGTGTCCATATATTGAGATGATGGAGGATGTGTGTCCATATATTGGAATGGTATAT